ATGTCCGGGAAGTTCAGGTCCCCCATGATTACCACATCCTTAGCCTTCACTACCTCTGTGATCTGACCCAAGAATTCCTGGCCAAGCTCTTCTCCCTGCTTGGGAGGTCTGTAGTAGACCCCCACCGTCAAGTCTCTTTCCCCTCGACTGCCTTGTACTCTAACCCAAAGCACTTCAGAGTGCCCTTCCTCTGACTCCTTGTTAGAGATGGTCAGTTTTTTTTAAATCACGTACTCTGTTTCATTGCAGTGGGGGATAATCCTCTATTTTATGCACATGGATGTAATATACCCACATGTATATATTTATATGGCAATAAGTACTTTTATTTTTATTTGTTGAATTTTCCTGTAACATTTATATGTGAATTTTATCCTCTTACTTTAGTTTTAGTTTAAGCCTTTTCAAACTTAAGCATTTCTGGCATATACTTTGTGAATTTTCAATGTGTTCATCAAGACACTATGCAATGTAAATATATCAAATGACATATGTATAAGAACCAGAAGACAGATAGTTTCATTCATTATTTTGTTAAAGAGAAAGATGTACATATTTTTAAAATATAAACAAATGTACTTTATAAAATATGATTTATGGGTATTTCAGCTCAGTTCTTATATGTGGAAACATAACAGGCCTTCACACTGTACTTTTACCTGTACGTTTTTTGAATTTGAAAACTGAATTTGAAGGCGGAATCTGAAAACTTGGTTTATTTTCTACTAAAAACAAAAAATAGAAAAGGGAAGGGAGGTGACGGTGACAGAAGGAATTCTTAGAAAACGCGAATAAATGGAAATGAAGATTCTCATCTGGAGTGTTACTGTGATAACAGAGTTCTTATTGCTTTGAATTCCTTTCTATGTTTCCTAACTGCATTACTGTTGGGTAAAATGGAAACACTTCAATTTCTACTATTTATACTGTTTATGTGCATTATGCCTTTCATTCAGCTTAGACAACGAAAATAGATCTTTCTGTACTGTTGGGTGTTACACATGCTAGTTTTTGCTGACACTGTGTGTGTGGGGTGGGAGCAGAAGTGGAAAATAAAAAATATGCTTTCATTGCAGTAGTTAAACATAAATTGACAAAGCTTAATGAACAACTCCAGCTCCTCCCCACAAATATAAACTAACAACATAATATTAGCTTTCAGGGGGGACAGTAGTCAAGCCTTTCAAGTATGTCTGAGCTGTTCTCAGGGCCTAATCCTGCACCATATTTTTGAATGAGAATGTTACTGCTGCCTTCAGTAAAAAGATTGGGTCCCTTGCTGTGTACATAGATCCTTCTGTCTTAAATGGTCTTTCTGTGCCTTAGTTCTGCCTCAGAACTCATGATTTGTGGATAGAGGTATTATATAGTTCAATGGATGAGCTTTATTTCCAAAATTTAGGATCATTTATGTGGCGCTTCATAAAAGGCAAGGCAGCTTTGTTAGAAAGGTACAATAAAGGGGCTAGATCTAAGGATCTAGGTTCTATTGAGAGTTATGTCACAAGCCTGCTGGGTACCTTAGGGCAAGTCACTTTACATCCATCCCTCAGTTTCTTCAGCTGGAAAATGGAAATAATGATACTTAACCCTTCCTGGAGTACTAGAAATAAAGATGCTGCAGAAGAATTAGGTGTCATAACTATTCATGGCTCTACACTCATTTACACATCATATCTACCAAACCTTGGGTAGCTGAACAGACAGTAGTTTCTGGAAGGTCCCTCAGCTTTTGAGGAGTATGTCCAAGATCTCAGCACTCCCAATGTTGCTGCAGTCAGGGCAGCTGGATGCACCAGGTTTGGAATGTGTTGTAATTGAAAATCCCATAGAAGAGAAGAGGTTATCCCTCAACGTAAGCCACAATTTTAAGCCCCTCACATTGGTATTCACTTTAATAGGGGCCATGTTTGCTTCTTAATTTAATTGATTTTCTTACAGTGTAAGAAAGAAGCCCAAGTAGATGTGGGGGAGGAATAAATTGTTCAAAGGTCAGTCATCAATCTCAAGCTTTTCATGACCATGAAGAATAAGTTTGCTTTCCAAGTAAGACACAAGAGAGGCTAAGTTTTCTGAAATTAGTATTTCAAACTAGTTTTGTCCCGAGGAGGAAGCCAATCTAGGGGCTGGAACCGTGCAAAATTCCAAATTCTGCTGGCATCTTTCTGGACCACCCCAGCTATGGACATTCCTAAATCTATCAAAAACTGTATTTTATTATAGTTTTATATTTGAGTAGAAAGCTGGAACAACATAAAGCAAATGTGAGCACTGGTATTAATAAACAAAACCTGCAGGGCTACAATAGAACAGGAAAAAGCAATGTCTTTCACTAACAGAGGATTAAGGTCCATGTCAGACTGTGCAAAAGAAGAATGTATCTTCACAAAAGGTAACCTGATTCTTAGGTCCTGGCATTTAGGAGGCAGCAAAGCTACTGTTTGGAGTAGATACCGAATGACTGAAACTTGATTTCTGCTTGTTGTCAGAGTGGTCAGTGGAGACTGGACAGTGGATGGGAACTGACATTTATGTGTCTGTGAGTCAAAATCGTTCCTGGGCCACTCCTGCAGTAGTGAAGTTTACATACCATCCCTTGCTGAGGGATGGGCCTAAAGACACAATCCAGCCCTAGTTTGGCTTCCTCCTCAGGAGAAACCAGTCTGAAGTAACAATCCCATCTTACTCTACCTGTAAGCATCATATATATATATATACAATGCTTACAGGTAGAGTAAGATGGGATTGTATCTATATATACACAAACACACGCACACACAAGGCATGTCTACACAAGCTATGTTAATGCACATTAGCCTAATTTAATGCACATTATGGGTACACATCTACATGTGTGTGCCCTTAATGGACATTAAATGGCAAAATTAGGCTAATCATGCCTAAATTTGATACCTGCAAATGAAGGTATCAAATTTAGTTGTGATTAGTTAAAGTGCATTAACACATGTAAATGAAACCGGGCACTAACTTTAGCGCTGGGTCTGCCCAACCACTAGGGGCGCATGGCAGGACTTCAGGGACTTGGCACTGACTTTAGTGCCAAGTGCACTAACTTTAGTTCCAATTCCCAGCATGTGTAGGCACCTACCAAAAATTGCTTAATGCACATTAGCTTAATGCACATTTGCATTAAATTTAGTTGTGCTTAAATGCACATGTGGACACAGCCACACACATATACACACACATACATTGTGTGATCCTCTCAAATGAAAAAGTACATTATTTTTCTATGTGTCTTTTGTAGTTTTCTACAGCTTTTATTACAGAAAGTATTTTTACTCTGTTAGACTTGGATAGATGATAAATTCATAAAGGTCAAGCTTAAATGATCCTAAAGATGGAATTACCTTGCCAGCCCAAAAGATGGTCTCCTTCAGGTCCCAGGTGATGGATTTGGATGGTAAACTGTAGAGAAATCTGTACTCCAGCTGCCCATACCATACCTGTTTGGTACTTAAATTGATCTATTCTCTAGGGGTGTTACTTGTCAGCTTTTCTGAGCCAGCTAATTAACTCTCAATTATTTAAATGTGATGGAGTGTTTAGAAATGTTTTCCAACCACAACCTAAGCTAAAGAAAAATATGGGTTCTCAACACTATTGAAAGTTAATCCCCATTATTATTATTTATATAGAATTCTCACTCAATAGTCAGGATTGAGGTACTTTAAAATAAAAAAACTAAACTAAACTAAACAAAAACCCAAACAACAAAAACAGCAATATACCTTCATAAGAGCTAACTGCTTGGGTTTTCACAAACCAAAGAGCAGATAAACAAATCTGAATAGTACAATGAAGACTGTGTTTTGTTTGCACAATAAAGAATTGTCTTTTATTTTTTTTCCACATAGCCAATAAATAATTGCCTTTTATGTAGAACAGAAAATTTGAAACAGTAATGGATGCTGCTGGAAATGTAAACGTAATTATTAAAGAAGCATTATAGCAGACACAGTAGAAGCTACTGTAGTGATAAACTGAGTTCCTTTCCAATCTCTGCTCTCATTGTTTGTAGATGCTCAAACTTTCCTAAACAAATTCCTTCTGTGCTGGGAATTGTCAAGCTTGGCTTCAACCCAAGATGAATATTCCTTTCAAAATATTTAAACAAAATCAGCTTGTTTATACCATAGTCATTCAAGGGGTTAAAATAGAAAAATGTACAGAGATAACTTAGAAATAAGTGATATTTCAAATTTACCATGTTTTGGAAGTATCATTAAGATTTAAATTTAAGCTAAACTTGAAGAATGTTGAGTATATTTAAAAGTATGAAAATGTGTGAGAAAATCTTGGAGCCACAAATGGCAAAATTTGGAGAATACTAATTTTCTCTGTCTTCTTTTTTTTCATTGGTTGACAAGCATAGACACACCTGTATATGTGCTATGTACCATATATAAAAATGTTTATAAAATGCTGGCTTCCTGTGTGCATTTATCTAAATTACCAGTTCCTGCTAAAAGATTCACAAAAGATTATACATATCCCACATTAACATTAATTGCCCTAATTACTAAAGGATAATAAATTAACTATTTATACCGTAATCATCCATCATCCTTTCTTTTTATAAAAAGATAATATACCAGTAAGTTTTGAATTTAAAATGATACATCTACTCCTAAATAATTGGTGACACTTTGACCAGAGCTGCCTCACATTACTAAGGAAAGAAGTATGTAGTGACTTTGATACAAAGTGTTGCTTAGGAAAGTAGGGAAGGAATACTAACCAGAAAGACACTATTTCTTAATCACTGCTTAGCTCTTTTTCATTAATTTTACATACAACTTAATGTTGTTATATAAAATATTTCAACTGAAGGGAAAATATCTATTTGAGAATTTAAAACCATTTTAGTAATATAATAGTCTCAGCTGCTCATACCCTAAATTAATATGTAACCATTGGATGATACTGATGGTTGCAAATGCTGACTATAATGGTCTGAAAGGAAAGCAGTCCATACCAGATGAAAATATATTTATGAGTGGTACAGAAAGTTAAAAAGGACAAGGACTTTAATGCGTTTATTACCTCATCATATGAAACTTATGTACTAAATTTCTACAATTCTATATTTATAAGTTTATTCAATTAGTCCATCCCACCGGTACAAAATGGAATGATTTGTTTATACACACTAAAAGCCATTTTTTGTTTGTATCCACCAAAATAGGCAGATTTCAAAACAGAGAGCATTGCAATTGTAAACAGTTGTCTCTATTATTGTTACCGCACTCTAGTTCTACTGCAACTATTATGCTGCCTACTAATTGCCAGCAAGACCAATAGCACTGAAACATTTGTGCATGAGCCTATAGCATTACCAATTAATCTAAAAAATTTTACTGCTTAAAACCTGTTACAAAAATGGTATAGAAAAGAAAAAGAATAAGCTTTGAAACAAGTTGTACTAAGTTTAACAAACTGATGATTTTTTCCATCCTTTTTCCAATTTTTCCATATGATTTCAAAATGAAATACAGAAATTAAATCTTCACAGTATATTATGAAATTACACACAAAAAGGATATAATAATGGCCTGATATTGCATGAAGAGATGCATCTTGGAAAAATAAAATGAACTCTCAGCTTATGAAGCAAATTCTCCCCCTTCAGTTTATAAATGCATCATGGATTCAAATTCATCAATTCTTTGTTTTGTGTTTCCTTTTCTAATCTTCCGATAGGAGATTGTATTGTATTTAGAATAACTATGTTTGGAGACATCATTTTTTCCCCCAATTTCTAGCTGCTCCCCTGGTTTCTCAGCCTGGGAGTTAAAACTGGGACTGTTAGGAGGGGATTCCTCCCTCCCATTTTCTTGTTTCTTTAAATAAGACTCCTCACTGTTTTCTTTCTTATTTTCTGTCAACTGCACTTGTTCTTCCTCTTGAGCATCCTCGTCCTCTTTCCCTGCTGCCTTCTCTCTTGCTTTTAATTGCATCTCATCTTTAATTTGTACTTTGCGTTCAAGGATCTGCACCATTTCTTGCGCTCCTGCGGGTAGAAACTTCTCAGCCTTGTTAGCATGTTCAACCTTTCTTCCGTGAGGTTGCTTTGCATTCCTTTCTTCTTGCCTATTTACTTCACATTCCTTGGTGCTTACAGAAATTATCTCCTCATATTGCCCTGCAAAAAAAACAATAAGTACTAGATAAAGTATGGCACAGTCAGAATATTTTATGCTGCAACCTGCTAAAACAAAAGCTGAATTTTAGCCTGGATTTCTATAGCTTACAAATATACCAGCCCCTATCAAAAGGGTAGGATAACCCCTGTAACCATTTTCTGAAACAGATCCAAGAGTCAGTAGTTAAATACATATGCAGCCTGGATGTTCACAAATATCACCACCAATACCCATATATTTTACAAAGGGTTTCAGATTCTCACACTCTCTTTGTGCACCCTTATGTATTTTACTGATGATCTCCCTCATGCCTTTCTTCATGTTTATTACACATCTGCCCTTTAAGTGGAAGGGTAATATGATGCAGCGATGAGGATCCAGGACTAAGTAGGATTCATGCCACTCTGGGCTCTGCTTTTGGATCTGTTAAATAACACTACTTGAATTGCTTTGCCTCTGTTTTCTTTCCTTTTGTCTGTCTTGCCCATATTAGACTGTAAGGTCTTTGGAGAGGTATTCTATCACAAGCATTCATTACGGAAAATGTAAATAACTAATGTTGCTCAAGGTTCTGAAATCAATATTCTGAGGTCAGTAAATTCCAAAATTTCAGGGAACCACAAAATGTTTAATGTGCCAAGATTTCTCATACAATGTTAACTCAGCCACACCTTAGGACCAAGTGACAGCTCAGTTCCTACACACAGACAGTAGGAAAGAAAGGGGCACCCTATCTTTAAGACACGCGTACAGGGGCTGCTATATCTTCCAAGAATGGTAGGCGTGGTGGGTCATTCATGCTGCAAGCAGTACTGAGATTTCCAGAGAGACAGTTAAGCACATTACTGACAAGGCATCATAATTGCACTTCTGGCAGACCTCTTTGAATGGAGTTCACAAAATGAAGAAACAAACAAAAGTGCAACTTTCACTCTTTCCCAGGTGCCCAGACTGTGTTATGCCCTTGAAAACCTTATGTTTCCTGGCACGGGAGGACACAGGATTTTGTAAAGGGAGGTGTGCAAACAGTAACTGGCACTGCAGGTCTGGCTGCACCCCTCTGCCCCTTCCCCACCCCCTGCTTCACCATTAGGCAGATCTCACTGTGGCAGCAGCAGCTGGGGACTTTTCTCAAATCCCAGCATCAGATAAGAATCTTCCCCCTTTGCCCTTGCCACCCCCTCCTTTCCCCTCCATGCTCAGCAACAACCCATTCCCTATTATTCCCCCTTCTCCCACCCAAAGGTGCCAAGTATTTGGGGGCCTAAGTGTTCTGCCCCCACCCCCAGGAAGAGTGCTGTCACCTAAAATGTGTCAAACTTTCCCCATATCCATCATCTTAGCTCTCCCCACCCCATCCCCCGCCACCCCCAGCAAAACTAAAAGTCCACACCTATGCTCCCATAGCTGCCACTGTCCTCAGCTGACCTGTGGGAAGGGGGAGCTCCAGCACCCCCTTCCTGACCTAATCCAGCCAGGCTGCACATGGAGCCAGTCCCAGTTGGAGACAGTGGCAGCCTTGGTAGCAGCAGGCAGATTCCCCCACACTGAACCTGCTCCCAGGCTGGAAGGGAATAGTTGGGAAAACCAGGCAAGGAGGGGGAACCCACCCATTTCCACCACCGCTGCTGTCTCTGGCACAGCCCAACTCCCCATACAGCCCAGCCAGAGTGGGGCAGGACCTGCTGTGGGGCTTCTCCCACCCCCTGGGTCAGCAGTGGGTGGGGAAGGAAGGCAATGGGAGGGGGAAGGACGTGCTGCTGAGCAGGGAGAGAAAAGGAGGAGGGTGAATTCTTATATACTACTGGGACTTAAGCAGTCCCTGGCTGCTGTTCATGCAGCATGGTCCAAAAGGGAGTGCTACCATTTCATTACACCCCTTCTGGATCTGCCTCTGTTTCCTAAGACCACTACTAAGAAATACCCTTTCCCCTAATGTAGTACATGCTTCTATAGAGCTTTATTGTGCCATTATTTTTGCACTGATAGAGTTTTGCTGATTTTTTGTGGGGGTTTTTTTAAGAAAGGACAATTCTAAAGCCCTTTGGCCCATGCTTGTATACCTGTAAAGCTCAAGTTCTAATGCTCTAACAGCCCCGTTACCTGAATTTGCATTTCTGGAACTTCCCCAAAGTTAACCAGGAATTTTCTGAGGCACAGTTAACCAGGATGCTTGGCTATTGCCTAAATACTCAGCATGTTATTGAAGCTCGGGTTTTTAAGCTTTTCAAGAACAACAGTACTAAGGACTATAGTCAGGGATGAGTTACCTAAAATAGGTCTTAAAGTGCACAAACCTAATGCACAGTGTAAACTTTCTTGGTATACTTTCATTGTTCAGGTAACAACCTCTGGCAGCTTTTCTAGCAGACATTTTATGAGACATTAGCTCTATGTCTGCCCCTGCAGCCGGAAAGTTCTATCAGCTCCATCTGGGACACTTGCCAGTTCTTTAACCCGCGGCTACAGACATGGTATACGTTCCTCCAACAGGCACGAACATAAGGCGGTACTTACAAGCTCCACTGCATTGTGCTCAAAACTACTAAGCCTATTTGATTTTATGTTCTCTGCTGCTTCAGCAAATGATTCTAAAATTCCTTTAATCAGACAATGGTGCTAGCACTGTTTTGAACCACAGTAGATATTGTAAATGCAGGATTAACAGCTTCCAGAATTTTCTGTTGCACATGGTCTATCTTGTATTGTCAAACATTTACAATTTTATTTCAAAGCCATTTCTTTCTCCCAAGAAAAGAAAGAATATATTCATTAAAAGCTAGTTTGTGAAATCTTTCTTTGGAATGAGTATGTTACTTGGCAAGTATCTCTAAGATACTTGGCATAAGATACTAATCAATGTAAGTATAAGAGAGAACAACATTTTTTGGACCCCACAGTCTATTTTCAAAATCAGAGAAACATTTTCCTCTGCACCCACGCTTCTGTTCAAGAAGGTTAAAGAGACAGTTAACAACCCCCTAATTCTCTAGGTCAGGTTTTCAAGAACACATTCGATGAGACAGTACAGTCCTTAGTTACTCCAGTTTGTGTCCCTGGGAAATAGTTTCCATGAGACTTCAGGTCAATGATGGATCCACAAAGAGTAACACATTCTAGACAATTCTTTCCATATATCAACATATTTCACATCAGGGCACAGCAGAGATTTTACCCTTCTTGGCCACGGCCAGATGAGCACAGCCATGTGGTATGTGACACCACAGTCCTCATGTTCAGTTGTTCTCCATGCTGCAATGAAGCAGCACAGAGAAAAAAAACGGAGCAGCGCACATGAGAGCACCGTGCGCTGCTCAAAAGTGAAGTCTGGAGTTGTGCTGTGGCTGCCAGCCAAGCTCTGTGTCTCAGGATTGCCACTTCTGCTGGCCTAGGAGGCCCTGAGAACTCCAGATAGGGCTGCTGGGGCCAGCCCAGTGCTGGTCCCAGCCTCCCCTACTGCCCCCAGGGTAACTTGCCACTTTCCAGAGTAGGCTTGGCATGAGCATGCCCCAGGGACAACTAGCAGCAGCACAAGGTGCACTGCTGCTAGTTGTCCCGGGGGAACCAGACATCCCCACAACATGTGGACATGGCCTCTGGGCATGTCCACACCTGCAGGAATGTGAGCTTCCAGCAGCACAAATTAGTGTCCAAGATTTGTGCCTTGGCACATGTGCCTGAACCTGCGCTTTGGTGTGGGGCAAACCGACCCTGTCCAGCTCCTCCCAGATCTTAAGCTAGGGGGAGCTACAGGCTGGGGGCAGTCCCTGTGCTGGCCCCAGCAGTATAAGAAAGCTGTCCTGGTGAGCAACTCAGGGTTACTTGCTGTCAGGAGCCTCTGAGGCCCAGCCAGTTGGTATCTGCGGACATTAGCTCCTTGTGCCAGCTGGACTACTGCAGCAGCGCTGACCTAGAGTGGCCCACACACCTTCTACCTGGTACAGCAGTCTGGCAGTGGTGGTTGCTGCCTGGCTGTGACCTGATGCCACCTGTAACAGTACCCACCCCATTGGACCCACAGCCCCATGGCTGTGTGCCTGCCAGACCCAGATGGGGATCACACAGCCACCTGGGCTGTGGTACAGGCACTGCAGCTAAGCCTCCTGGTACCTCTGGACCAGCTGCCAGTAGGCTGTGGCTGCACAGTTAGCCTTCAGGTGGCACTGCTGTCACATCCTCTGGTGTCCCCCCTCTGCCATCTCAGCAGCTATCGCCTAGAAGATTTGCTCATTGCATTGGCCCATTTTGAACTGTCAAGGCACGTACTCCTGGACCCAAATGGCCAGGAGGTGAGCCTCATCATCTCCTCTCCAGCTGGGTCCCCAGTGCTGGCCCTGGGCAGGTTCCTCTGCCTGGGTCCCGCCACTTGCCCCACCATCAGGGATCCTGGTGTTCCCTGTTTAAAAAATGAAAATTCTCTCATTAAAAAACCCAAAATCTGTTTCTCCATGATTAAAATAAAACACCACTATATATAGAAAGATCAGTTGGGCAATGTTTTATTGATATTTTTACAATTTTAAAGCAATTTGGAAGCCTACCAGTACCTCTATCATCATAATAAAATGAATTTTAAATATCTGTACACTTTGGCGTTTGCTTTTGGGTTTTTTTATCATAGAAGAATCAGAACTGCACCAGCCCCCTTCGCACATCAAGATGTGGGGCGCTGAGCAGCACTGGGATGCCAGTGCCCTGCCTCTGCCCATGCCCTTTCCCCTCACTCCCAACCCACAGCCCTGCTAATGCCCCTGCCTGCTCCCCACTAGCTCCCTCCCAGCATCAGCTCTGTCCCAGCACCAGGACACGGATCCAGCTGCAGCTGTACCACCTGCTGCTTTGTGGCTCTTAAGCAGTGCCAACCCTTATTGTTCTTCTCCTTGTGCCTGTGCCCAGCCCCCAGTGAGCCCCATTCCATTCCTGGGAAGCTTTCAACTGAGTCTCAGGGAATGGGCTGGGCAAGGCCCTTCCCTTCCAGGCTGGCTTCCCCCTGCAGAGG